GTTTGTGCATGTGTGTGTTTGTGTATGTGTGTGTGTGCATGTGTGTGTGCGTGTGTGCGTGTGTGCATGTGTGCACGTGTGTGCACGTGTGTGCAAGTGTGTGCACGTGTGCACGTGTGTGCACGTATCCATATGTGTGCATGTGTGCATGTGTGTCTACCTGTGTAAACATGTGTATAGGTGCATATGTTTGAGAGTGTGAGTAGGAATGAAAATGAATGTGAGTAAACATGCGAGTGAGAGAAAGTGCATGCGAGTGAACATACATGTTAGTGAAAGAGTGTGAGTGTGAGTAAGAGTAAGAGTGTGAGTGTGAGTGTAGTGTGAGTGTGAGTGTGAGTGTGAGTAAGAGTTTGAGTGTGAGAGTGTGAGTGTGAGAGTGTGTGAGTGTGAGAGAGTGAGTTTGTTAGTGTGAGTGTGTAAGTATGAGTGAGCGTGCATCTGAGTAAGCGTGGGAATCAGCTTGTGTGTGAGTGAGTATGTGCGCGAGCATACATATGAGTGAGGAAATGTGCATGTGAATGTGGATGCATGAGTGAGTGCATGTTTGTGTTACTTACTTACCCTTTTACTAAGACATATCACTGGCCAGAGTGAACAACCACAGGTACAAAGACAGAAGCAGCAGCCGCATAGAAGCCATCGAGCAGACACGGGTAAAGTCTTCCTGAGCACAGTATTTACACGGGATACTGAGCCTGCAAATTCCTCCGGGGCTAATCTGCCCGTAAGTGCTGTTGGAAAGTCCCGGCAAAACCGGTTACTTAGGCCGAATCTGGAAAGGGAAATAGAATATTGTATCCAATACATACATTAGGCATTTAAATACTCTATGTAGAATTATTGCAAAAATGAAAAAAAAGATTTTCAATATGAAAAAATAAAGAGAAAGAGGGACAGAGAATGAAGACAGGAGAAAGGCGAAATATGGAGAGGGAAGAAGGGTGGAAGAAATGGAGAGATGAAAGCAGGAAGACTGGAGAGGAGAGGAGATAGGATGAGATGAGAGATGAGAAATGAGACAAGGAGAGAGGAAAGAGGTGAGAGAAAAGAGAGAAAGAAAAGAGAAGAGAGAGAGAGGGATAGGGGGAGAGGTGGAATGAAGGCATAGATGGACAAGGAAAGAGACTACATACAATAGGCATTTAAATACTCTATGTAGAATTATTGCAAAAATGAAAAAAAGGATTTTCAATATGAAAAAAATAAAGAGAAAGATGGACAGAGAATAAAGAGAGGAGAAAAGGGAAATATGGAGAGCAAAGAAGGGTGGAAGAAATGGAGAGATGAAGGCAGGGAGACAGGAGAGGAGAGGATAGGATGAGATGACAGATGAGAAATGAGAGAGAAAGGAGACAATAAGAGAAGAAAGGAGAGAGGAAAGAGGTGAGAGAAAAGAGAGAAAGAAAAGAGAAAAGAGAGAGAGGGATAGGGGGAGAGGTGGAATGGAGGCATAGATGGAAAAGGAAAGAGACAACTGACAAGAGACAATGAACAGAGATAAGAAAGAGAGAAACGATAGAGAGGAGAGACACAAAAGGAGCTATGAAACAAGCTGAGCCAGAATAGTATGAAAGTGTAGCCAGATTTCCTTCATTAATTAAGCTTGGTGAAGATATGGCAATAAGCAAAGGTCAAGTAGTTAGCCATGAGGATAGACTGGGAGAAGAGGGAAGAGGCACCCTCCCCTCCGAGGGGCTTCAAGTGGGTATCTCATATATGTGCATGGGTGGGTGTATCTCCATTTATGCATGCATACATGTGTACATAAACAAACAAACAAACACATACACACACACACGCACATGCACACGCACACGCACGCACCGCACGCAGCATGTACCCACACACACACGCATGCACGCACACACACATGCACGTGCACACAGACATACACCCACACACTCACACTCTCACATTCACACACACACACAAATAGCCACAATATGGACGAATAACAATTATAAAACCTTTATGGTCTTATTCATACTGTGGTAGTATTTCTTTTCATCTTGTACATGTAACTGTTTTGTACTTGTGCACACACACACAAAGATACACACACACACATGAACATGCGAGCACACACATACACCCACACTCGCACACTCGCACAAAAACATTCCAGGTAGTAACTTTTATACTTTGCTGGATGTTCTTATTGTCAAAATCCTGATAATCAAACCATGCAGAAATACTGTATCTACTGATAATCATGAACAAAAACAAAAAGCTACAAAACTTTAAGCAACAACAGGATTTATAGTTTGGTGTTCCTTTGCATACTGAAAATTAAACAGAGCATATATCACCTTTCTAGATAGAATTTCAGAGGTATATTTACATGCTACACAACCAAGTATCTCTTTCAGACTATAAAGCTTTATGATATTCTAAAAGTAAAGTAAACCCTTAACCTAACTGATGTAAAAAAAATACATCAATTAACAATCTATCTTTTTAATACCCCATCAAAACAGAAGAGAAAACAAGTCTTTATTCAAACTCTATAATTTTACATCATATATCATAATTTATAATGCAAAGGCAATCATCATAAGCATTGATATCATCAAATTTTGCATCAACAATTATTTTGTTTTACAAACTTTCACATTAGTAACAAGGATCAAAACTTGTATTTAAAATGTTTTTTTTAATACATGTGATCTTTAAAGCAAGGTCATTCTAAATTAGCTAATACCCCCCATGCCCCCTCCAAACCCCTACCTCCGTAGCAAAAAATACCCACTGTTCACTCCACCCCAGCTATCCAAAACCTTAGCCCTACACATGCTAAATCTATTCTATCATCATACCAGCCTAATGACCTCTTTATGATTTAGAGAATTGATGATCGGGATGATCTAAACTAATTGGCATTAATATGGATGCACAGAGAAAACAGTTTTTCAGTTATGTAACCTATTTGTAAAGTAGATTGACTATGTTCATTTTTTTTCTTTTTTACAATAAGTTACAAACATTTTTAAGGGCCAAATGGCATTAACAAACAATCCTTTCCCTGCAACAGTCTATCATAATCAAAATATGCAAATGCTATTCATGCAATATAACAAGAAGCATGCCCCAACATTATTCCTAACTTCTACCAAAGGGCACACTCCATGTTCATATAATCCATAATTAACTGATACACATCAATCATTTTGAAGCTAAAACCATTTTCAACCTATATGATTATGGCAGCTATTCATCTTTTATAAATGCAAAGCTGATTATAGTTTGCCAATTTTGTATAAGCAATGGCAATAAGTTTCATAATGTAATAAGACCAGATATGTAAAATTTAAGCTAACTCGTAACAAAACAACAAAATGGAAAAAAGGCATTCAGAGTATGCACTATGTATATATATAATATATATATATATTATATATATATATATATATATAATATATATATATATATATATATATATTATATATATATATATATAGAGTAGGCCCTATGCTGACAGATTTATGAATTCTGCCAAGTGGTGAATGAGCAAAGAAACTTCTGTTTTTTTCTTTGTTTTCTCATTATCTTCTACCATTCAGAACAGGGTTGCCTATTTTTCCTGAACAAGAGCCATATTACATATTTTATATTTCACAAAACAAAAGGCTCTAATGAGATAACTGATAGTAAATGTCAGTCTATTTTTTGTTTTTAGCACAACATTTTACAAGCTACAAAAATTACAAATCATTCATGATTTCTCCATTCTTTAAATTTTTTGGGGAAAGTGTTCTTTTCTAATGATAACAAATATATGTTATCATTACTATTGACATTATGATCATTATGACGTTATCAACAATATTATTAGTAGTGAAATATAAAAAAAAAGGATTTTCATCCTGGTATCAATGGGTTCAATACAAAATTTCCAGCCAGAAAAAATTAAAGAATATTCTTTAATTTCCTTATAATTTTGTTGTATGGAATTCCTTAACATAAAAAAAAACATTGAACTTTGACTCCTAACCCTCATCTTTACATTGGAGTTTTATAATATATCTAATGTTAAAACCAGGAACTCAAGACAATAAAGAAATGGTGATAAAAAGGTTTCCTTATTTCATAATTCACTCTCTGAGACACTCTTTACAGAGCTTGTCATGGTTATCATCAACAAGCAAACTCCTTTAGTAAGAGGAGCATAATTTCATCCTCTTTTGGCACTTTTTGATTGCAATACATATCTTGTAAATTTGCAAGACAAAAAATGTCTGTCTGCCATTGATACAGAGGCCAATGGCATTGTTTTACCAACATATTAGTAGTATGGGATTGTTGTCCTTTGCTGAAGCACTGAAGGCATGTAGGCCTTGCAATTCCATCAGTGTTAGGTTAGACTTAGAGTGGACACTTTCTATCAGAGATTATGGTACGTTTCATGTAGATTTGGAGAAAAACACAACTAAGATAATCAAGAGAGAAAAAGGGAGTCCCATTTTGAAAGCAACTACAGGTATCATGTGGTTATTTCAACTACATTATACTGGTCTTCCTGGTAATTCATTTCACAAGCATAAGTCTTTAAATAAAAATAATGTTATACAATTATAATAGTCTGAACACATTAATAAAATTGCAGTAGTTTTTAACTATTCTGTTATATAACAAGGACAGATTCCAGGTAGATCAATTAGTGTACATGCAAGAACTGTTTAAAGATTCTGGCATTCTAAAAAGTACCCCTCATAAATGAAATATTCAACTATGACTTACAATACGATAATAACATCTCTAACTAAAGACTAAACAGTTACCATTACTAATATAGAAGTTTATAATTTTTCCAGGTTCCTTTCAAAATGATTTTGACAGCTAGGGATTAAATGGCAGGAGCATTTTATAAAAATACCAAGGGTTCCAGGTATGTTGGGTGTAGGGTTAGGGCATATTGTCTAACAACAACTGGGGCCCACGGGATAGAGCCACTGGATAGGAACTTTCGTTGGTATTATGCCCATAGCCTTTACACTGAA